AGACCCAAGGCCCATAATTCATTAATGAGGTCACATGATTCTCACATGACTCAGTGGATACCACCACAACTGTCAGCTTTCCATTCCCTATATGGGTATCTGTATTAGGATCCCTGGTCAAGGGGGATTTTCGTACTGTAGTACAGATGTTATTCCTTATTATCTGCTGGTCCATAACATACCTGATTTCAAATTGTTATCTTCTTCTCCGGCGAGATACAACTTTTTTCGGCAACATTTCATATCTTGCTTTGCCTTCAACCTATATTGGAAAACGGAATCTGATTTCGCCATGCAAAATTGAAATTTTGTGTATATATCACCACTGTTTGCAACAAAAATTCTTGCCCATTTCATATGGTTCTTCAACTTTGTCTCCTCTTCCGTTGCCACCCAACCACCGTAAAGTTGCTCTATTTCTTCAAATACTTGTTGTGACCACAGATGTAGGGGGATCCCTATAATTTTTATCCAATTTTTATTAACTTCCATGGAGTTCGGCATGCAGCCTACAACTGGGCTCCACCATTCTAAGTAGAAACTTAGGTTTCTCCATTTCCACTGGCCTTGAAGAGTTTTTTCCGCCATGAAATTATCGGGAAATTCAAAAAGGAACATGTCACCGTATAGCTCATAAATATCGACTCCAAAGGCCTTCTTACATTCATAAGATGACCACCAAAAGACACCTACCCAAAGGCCCATCCTCTTGCTTTCCTGATGAGCTTGTCTCCTCTATCTCCTTGTGTTTTTATAGCCATTTGTCATCCCTTACAGCCTTTGAGTAGGGGAATCTGGAGTTTACAAGCCTTGGTAAACTCGTTGGTATCGACCTTTTAGGACATTTAATGAAGTTCTCTACTTTAATGAGTTTACCATCCTGCATTCAGGACTGGTTCTGGAATAATGATAATAGATCTACCCCCCACCCCCACCCACCCCCACATTAATGGCTACAATGCTCATATATCTCCCATATTCATTATGTTTCCTAGTGCATAAGTATACCTTTTTTCTTTCAGTACATCTCCATCTCCTTGTGACTTTCTTCTGATCAGTGGAAGCTTCTCTTAGCAGGAAACAGATCCATTCCATCACCATACTGCTCACGGTAGTTCTTCTCATCATTCTTCGACTTCTCTGCACCCACTCGTACCAAACAGCGCCTTCATCATTCCATTTGATAATATCAAAAGACTTGAAACCAGCATTAAAATAAATCTTATTATCTCCCATGGCTTGACTAAGCAAGAGAGTAGAAAGAAAAAGAAGAGTAATCACAGGAGGTGGTCACCAAAGGGTGTGTGGAAGGAATTTCGGTGAAAGGCTGCTGGAGGAAAGAGGGTCCCACCTAGGAGGGACGAGAGAACTTTCTCGAGAAATGTTCCAGAGAAGCAATTATGAGGAATTCTCAAGAGCTTACATTTGGGAAAAACTCATTTGGGGGAAACAGGGAAGTGGTTATTCAGCTGGTTATTCAGGAGTAGAAGCGGTGTATCGAAGCCTAGAAACCAGGGAACTCAAATTTCAGCTGCTACAATATCATTTAAACAGGGCTCAACACAGGATGGTGACTCAAGCCAACAAACATAGATCTGATGTGCAGTTCAAAGAAGGAGATCGAGTGTACCTTAAAATTCAACCTTATAGGCAAGTCACTCTCTCAGGATCTCCTTTCTCAAAATTATCAGCTAAGTACTATGGACCCTATCGAATTCTGCAAAAGATAGGAAGGGTAGCTTACAAGCTCTCACTACCTGCTCAATTGAGTTTACATCCTACCTTCCATGTGTCGCAACTCCAGATATGTAACAAGCTACCTGAAAAGATCAATCATTCTCCAGTCGTTGACATTGCAAGTCCATACTGCCCACAACCACAAAAGGTCCTAGAAAGGCGTATGATACAGAAGGGTAATAAGGTTGGTGCGCATGTGCTAATTCAGTAGGATCAACTACCAATTGAGCAAGCAACCTGGGAATATTATCATGCTCTCAAAATCAGATTTCCCTTATTCCTTCCTTGAGGTCAAGGAAATTTTCAATAGGGGAGATCTGATACTAAGGGAAATTGCTAGCATTAAGGAGTGGTAAACTTAGCTGTAAATAGAGTATGAACAGACAGTTAATTCCGTTAGGAATGAGTTGCATTAGTTAAGATAATTTTGTTTCTACCCTCAGTTATCTTTATATATAGTTTTAGTATTTACACATTCCCCCTAATGCTTGTTATTATCAGGGGGAATTAATTTCCATTATGAGTAAGTTACAGAGATCAGAGTAGTGAGTGGAAGAAGGACATGTGTCCAGGATTGGTCCCCACTGGTCCCCATCTGATCTCTATATATAGTACTACTTCTCTTTTTCCCAAGTTATGAAAGAATTGCTTATTTACTTGCTCTAGAATTTTCTTCTTTTTAGTCATTCTTCTTCTTTTTCTTAGCTCCTAAATAATATTAGTATCAAAATGATAATAACAATGAAGCCTACCGAAGACCAATGAACAAGTCTATAGGCCCATGACTTTCCAAGAAAAAGGAACTTCAATGCTAATTGGGCTTCAATTGCAAATTGAACTTGTTGTGTATTGGAGTAAAAGCCCAATAGTGAAATATCATTTATGCAAGTTTTACAATATTTTGTAGCCAAATCGAAGTGCAAGTGATGATGATTAAAGTCCTAAATTTCAGCACTTAAGAAATCCAAGGAAAGAGTCCCAATATTCAAGTCAAGCAAAAGCTTTAAAGTTGACAATCATTTGCTTTAAATGGATATAATTAGAGTCTAGATAGGCCTAAGAAAAGTAGATAATTTCGTACATAAAGATTGGAGAATGAAGGAGCCTAAAATCAACCACAAATCAAGGAATTTCTCCCTACATTAAGGATTCCTCAATTTTAGGGAGCCTTGTCCAATCTTTCATAAATTTTGCTCCTAGTTAGTTATGGATGTAATGTGAATACAATTTAACATGTTTTTCTAGTTTAATAATCGAACTTGCCTTTTTTCTTTTACAAGTTATTACTTCCCTTTTTCCAAAGTAGTTGGACTTGTTATCCAACATAGTTTAAGACATTTTTTTATAAGGGTGACTATTTCATATATCAGAAAAAACCTATCACCAGAATGATAGGAATGGGATTTACATCTTGAGGTCCAAGAGGTCAGAGGATAGTGGAAAGAGCTAGAAACTGAAAAGTTAAGACTTCACTTATCGTAAATTCTACCAAGTCATCTATATCCCCCCCCCACTAGTTCAGACATACACAAAATATAAGAGAAACTAAGGTGAGCTCTTTATCTTTTGCATGTGATGGCTTTTGACCTCAAAATGTCTAGAGTTTCTTTTATTGATGAAGCAAAATGTCTAGAATTTCTTTCCTTTCACAAAGTCCACCATATGCATGATGGGAAGCATTTCCACCAATCTTCTTTTGCCTCTCTTCTACCCACTCCCTTCCAATTTTTAAGCATCTGAAAGTAGTTTTCTTCAGCTTGCAATGTAAAAATAGATGCTCACTGTTTTCTGCATCTTCTCCACATAATAGACCTCTTGAACAAATCTATAAACCTCTTCGATGTAGGGCTTCATGAGTTAAGCAAGCTCTTCTAATAACCAACCATGTAAAGCAAGAAACTTTGTGGGGGATTTTGACCTTCCATATGAGTTCAAGGCCACAGTTTTGTCAAGGAGGTGACATGAGATTCCAGTTGGCTGATTTAAATGAGTACTTCCCATTGCTGCAGAACTCGCAAACTTGACTATCTCTGCCAGTTGTGGTGTCATTGAAAGGGTTCAGATCTTGTAACATGCTTGAGACTGTGTCAATTTCCTAATCATTTAGGGCCTCCTGAAGATCAGGTTTCAGCCTTGGGCACTCCATATCTGAGAGATTGTGTCATCTTTTTGGAGGATTTAGATGTTAATTGTTAAGATCGGGGAATTGATCTTTTAGGGTAGCCTGTCCTAACCAAAGGTCATTCTAAAATACTGTCTTATCTCCATTCCCAACTTTAATGGATATGTTGGTGCTATAGTAAGCCATAATTTTCTGATAGTCTTCCACCCATCACAACCATAAGTGCAAAGTACATCTCTGGTGATCCACTGATTCATTAGCCACATTTTTGGGATATGAATCCTTTCCACAGGGCATTGTGCCTTCACTGCTAAATCTCCACATCCATTTTCGAAGCAGACTTCAATTGTGCAGATTGAGATTTTTATGCTCAAACACCCTTGTTTCTTGCTGAGACTCTATGAATTCCACTTTACTAAGTTATAACCTTTTTTCTCTTTGTTTCCCAGCCAAAAGAAATCTCGTCTCAAATTGTTAATCTTTTTCACTACTCCCTTAGGAATAGGGGAAAAAAAATCAGGCAGGTTCGAAAGGCATCTAATTTAATTTTTCTGTCTTCAAAATTTATTTTAAGCTTCGACATATATTATTTTAGTTTCTTGTTTCATGTTCATGAAACTAACTCAATTATATTAGAAAGGATGAACAGGAGATTCCCTAAAATAAAAGAGATAACAAGCCTAACAAGTGAAGCGTCTGATACACTTGAGAAGGCGTCAGCTGGAAAGCAAGAACTCTTAGCCAGAGGCCTAGAAGAACTAAAAAGGCATTCTAGATTTTTATGTCCACTTCATACATTTTCTTTGCACAAAAAGACCAGGAAAATTGCATGCAATAAATTTAGCAGTTCTCTCTTAAACAAACAATTAGAGACTCCTTGGACAAAGGATACGGGCAAATCCGATAGGTTAACCCTGTAAATGCTTCATCATCCTAATCCTAGCTGGTGAACCACCTTTTGGAAACAAGTGATAATTATCCTTCTCAGTGACAAGACATATCTTCACTTTATAATCACAACTACATATAGGAATCTAATATTGCAACAGACAAAGTTCTTTCAAGGAGGAGAAACACCAATCAACTAGTGACACACATTGAGAGTCAACGCAGCAAATCTGAAATATAAAAGCATGTGTACCTTTTCAGTTCAGCTATCATAATCTCGACTTCAGCCATCTGTGGATCATCCAAGTCATTCATGTATATGTTCACATCACCAACCATGGCTGTCAAAAAGCAATATGATCAAACTGAGAATCACATGTCAATCCGAAAAAACCAGGTTCCCACTTCCCACACATTTGAAATCATTATTGCTTCACTAAAACTTGTGAAAGCCACTTCATAAAAACAAAAATTTGCAAAACGAATAAGAAAATTATAAAAGGAAAATTTCAACTAGTTGCAGAAAATTCAGATCCTAATATAAAGAGCTTCATACCTTAGTATGAGCATACAGTGTAATAAAATTACCACAGGTTCCATGCTGATCAAAGATCATACTTAAGACCAAGGCAATACAACGTTGAAATAAAGCTATATGGAGTGATTAAACTAAGACCAATTGAAGACCAATACAAGATTGCAACCTTCAACATGAGGTTCTCCATGAATGAAGTTTTCAACAATTAGTTCCCTGTCCAACACGATGAAAGTCTGCTCTGCCATTGAAAAAGCATTTCCAATAACATTTTGTCAGAAACCATACGAAGAAAATACAACCCAAAAACCAGTAAATTTCAAGAACATCACTATTTATTCATTCTGTCCCAACCAAACGCTGATATAAGCCAGAGCTCACGAACATGATTCACCACTTTATTCTACCATTTGACTTAGAGTACAAGGTGTGCAAGATAAAGTATAAATCAAACTTATAATTGGTCACATTGAGCATTTTTCCATATTTCAACAAACAAACAGTAATCAGGTGCCTTAGAAGCAAAATATTAATAAAGCAAATCAGCCACTTCCTCCCTTTATAAAAAGGGGTCATTATCCCTCAGCATATATACATTCCAAAACATTAAAAGATCACAGTTTCTATTTTAGAACCCAAGAAAGAAGCAACGAAACCAAAAAGGTGAAATTTCATACAGAAATGGAAATAAAACCATACTTAAGGGGTCTTCGGTAAAGGTATTCTTGATTCAGCTAGAAATAGTAATTCAGGCAAAGGTAACTTTTTATTTCTTTAATAAACATGAAAAGACAGTATATATCTGTTTGCATCAAATTACCCTCCACAAAAGCAGCAAATCTGGCAAAGATAGGTTTTTTCTTCATCAATAGTGAAAAGGGTAACTATCTCTCAAACATACAGTGGCATAAGAAACAAAATTTGAACCAAAAATGAAACCCATACTTAAGGGATCTTGGATTGAAGTATACATATTCCGCTAGAAACAGTAGTCCAAGCCAAGATATCTTTTATTTGTTTAAAAAACATGAAAATTCAGTATATCTGTTTGCATCAAATTGCCCAAAAGAAAAAAAAACAGCAATTCAGGCAACGATAGGGTTTTTCGTCATGAATAATCAAAAGGGTAACTATATCTCAAACATAAAGTGACATAATAAGTAAAATTTGAACCAAAATCAGAAGAAATACTTAAGGGGTCTTGGGTCCAAGAAAGTTGCATTTCATATTCTTGCTCAAGGGTAAGTGGTTCAGAACCAGTTGCTTGAAGGAGAAGAGGATCTTGCATCCATTCATGGTACTTCGGCACATGCTCTCTCATGTAGGGTACCAGTATCACCTTCTCCCCTTCCACGCTCACCTTCATTTTCTCTGTAAAATCCCAGTAGTTGGCAGTGCATCAGTCGGCTTAAAGTTTAAGCTAGGCAATGCACTATTTCATTTGTTATGGGCTTCACTATGGCAAACTGCGGGCCACCCTATATTTTTGGCATACTTTACACCAAGGTAATTTGTCCCATAAATAATATTTTAATTAAACTTGTAGATAGTTTTTTTCTAATATCTATACATTAAAAATAATGGTAAAATAGATTTTTAAAAAATATTCATGAAATAAATTATTTGTTGTTATTTTATAATTCAAGAACCTCTACTCAACGAATTAATCACTAAATAATAAATTATTGGTTCTTTAATCAATATTAAAAGAAAAATAAAAAAGAAAACAAGTATATATATGCAAAGGCACTCCCTAATAAAAAGAAACATTTAAGTTGCATAGATTATACAATTGTAATATATGTCTTAGGAGAATATTTAAAATATTAACAGATTTAAAAAAGAAATTACGCTTAAACATAAAAGCAAATATAACTTTTAAATTTGCTTAATGAATTTCTTCAATTGATAAGTAAAAAATTTCATTTATATGTAAAATAGATAATATGCAAGGTTATATATAGTACTTTTAAGTTATAGAATTTAATATATAATATCAACCCATGAATTCTTGGAACTAGGTACAATAATTATTTTGTGCACAATGAATATACGTACGATATGTGTATATGCTAAATCTAACCGGAGACAATAACTTCGCAGAAACATAAACAATTTAATTAAAAATATGTATTCAAAAACAACAATTAATATCATAAGCATAAAATTTTGAGTGTAAAAAGACACACCAGAATATGTAAAGACAGAATGAAAAAAAAAACGAGTCCACACAATGTCCCCTTTAAGAAAAGTATTCCTCTATAGTACAAGAGGTTTAAAGAATTACATCTTCTCAGGATGGAAGATTGTATTCACCAACTTATTGATGCAATAATAATGATGTTAGTAAGTTACTCAACAGGAATAAAGTACACGAATATTTAATTTTGCGCATGTGTAAGAAGAAGATAAGAATTTTTGTTTGTTTAAAATGAGATGAAATTGCACTATTTATAGACAATAAAGGGTAGTGTGAACAAATTTTTATTGTGCCTTATCACAAAGGTTACAACTATTTGAAAAAAGTTACAACCCTTCGAAAATTTCACAAGCTTTCATAAAAGTCGCAACTTTTGATTAAGTCGCTACTCTTTGTTAAAGTCACAACTTTTTATAAATGTCACAATTTTTCATAAAAGTCACAACTCTTCATTAAATTCATAATTTTTCATAAAAGTCACAACTTTTCATTAAAGATGAAAGCTAGTTTTGGAAATAAAAAATTCAAAAGAAAATTCTTGCTTTTGGTAGCGCCACATAGGCGGGTCTATAGTTCTGTTTTATCAGAATATATGATAGTTGTATCTAGTTTAGAGAGCTAAACATTTTTTCCTGTTTTAATTTATTTGTCCTATTTAAATTTGACACAAAGAGTGTGTTTGGTATGAAGGAAAATATTTTCTGGAAATTATATTATTTTTTTTTGGGTGGGGGGGGGGGACGTCAATTTTAAAAATATATTTTCAATTTCAAAATTTTATTTTATTTATATTTGAAGTCATTAAACATGCATTTAATTTTACTTACAGATAAAGTAAAAAAAAATTTTGGATGTTAATGGAATTTCCCTTGAGGTAATTAACACTGGCAAGCATTTACCTACACCATAGGAATAACATTTCATTTAGTAGCAATCATGATACAATAATTTTTTTTGTCAAATCATAGCCATTCATACCATCGCAGTATTGGTGCACAACTCAACAACATAATTGAAATAAAATGAAAATCTACTCTACAGGCGGTATTTGCAAGGAATAGTAAGTAAGCTATAATGACCTAAATCATCGACTCATCCTGATCTATCGGTGACGAGTATTTGTAAAACATGTTGTAACAATCCAATACTTCTTTTTTATTGTTTATCCTTTAAATCATAATTTTGGATCTTGTGTAAGTTGATAATACTTTTTGAAACTTGTTGGCATAGCTTGCATTAAGAGTTGAGGGGCTCTGGGGTATTTTGGCATTATTGAAACTCATTTTGATGTTGAAAATTTTGCTACTTCTTGTATCCTTCTTCGTGACCACGAAGGGAGGAAGTTGCTACTATGGAGGCTTAAAGGAATTGTCAATGTGACCGCATTTAGGAATGGATTAGTTTGATCAAACCTCTAACGCAATCATGAAGGTGTTTATCATGACCGTTAAAGGATAAGTCTGAAGGCATTAAAGCGTGAAGAAAACCTATTTAATATACAGTAAAGAGTCAAAATTATCCCTAAATGAAGCACAAATACCGTCCATTTGTTTTTAGCTTAAAACTACCTCTCCATTATTTGTTTTTGTCTCACAAATACCCCTCACTTTAATGGAGTGCCACCAAGCACATCACGTGGAGAAAAAATCGTTATATGATCAATCCTAAGATTCACCATGAAAAATCATTCCAATTTAATACCCTAGAAGTACAAAGGGTGTTCTTGAGAGACCCTCAAATTAAATAAATCATGGCAAATTGCTTGAAAAAGGGGATACAGAAATAGGGAAAATACAATAATAAGAAAATGGAAGATTGAAATGGAGAGTATTGCAAAACAAACAAGAGAAATGCAGTAATTGGAGCACAAAATAACTGAAATCAAAGATTAAGAATATCTAAGAGAATAGAGCTAAAACCTTTGAACCACCAAGAAACTTTCTACCCTAATTTGCGACCTCCAATGGATTGCAAACCAGGAGGGCACTCCTGAGAAACGATATCCATTGTTTGCTGACCCCTCCCAACAATACATTTTTATCAACCACCCACTTACTACAAGAATGTATCATGATGAAAATCAAAGCAGTCGCTTCCCCCCATTGTATATAGTTCAACCACAGCCCGTGCCACAAAATGTGTCAAAGCGCATTTTGTTAAGTGTTTTTCTGCTCATGTCACCTAAGATAAAGTCAACTGGAAACTATTATTAGAGTCGTGGTTTGAAGATGATGATTTGAAGATTCATTCGGATCCCAATTCATGGATCTCTCGGTACGAAAAATCAAAGTAAGAGGCTCGAACCATTTCTTTTAACGACTTTTGATCGAGATGGGTAGAAAAAGCACTGCAAAAACTGTGGCCATTTCTTGCTTCCTTTGAGAATCGGAATCATGAGAAGATCTTTAATTGAGCCCTTGAGGAGATCAGGGAGAAGCTCGATTTAGATGTTCATCTTCGGCAAAAAAGCGCTCGATTAGTGAGCTATTACGCACTCTTTCAAGGGTGGCTGCTTCTAGGCAAATTTCTTGGTTGTCTCTGCACGCCTACCTCTCCTATCTAAAGTCCGTCCTTGATAGGATCAAAGTAAATTTCTCTATTTCTATATTGCAAATGATTACAAGTTTTACTACTAGAGCGAATGAATACAAGTAATAAAGTTGTTTCATCTTGTATGCATTGAATAAAAATATATCAACCTGCATTTCTGTATCATGGGTCAATATACAAAGGCTACAATAGCAAATGAATACTATATACAAGTGATGTAGCTTGTATTAACCTATATGTATTGAATAACACATATCAACTTGTTTGTATCGGGCAACATTTGTTGATATAATTTATAGTCCTCAAATACATTTTGTATATATCTAGCATCGCTCCTCTCTCTATCCCAGATCTTGCTCGCCACACTCCTTACTCGCTTAAAATCGCTAGCCTCTCTCCTTTTCCTCTCAATATTGCTCGCCTCTTCTTTTCTTTATTTTTTGCTACAAATGCTAAATACCCACATATAGCTATATTTGTCTAATATTAGTCATTTCTAAAACTTTTCCTTAAACTAAAATATGAGACTTCTTCTGTCATTTGGATCTAGAAGTTGGGTGTGGCCTAAGTTTTATTTAGGTCTACAATATATCATTTCGTATTTGTAAAATCTACTATATTGTTTCATATTATATTAATATCTGTTCTTATAGAAAATGATCCGACAGGACAAATATTACAAATGTTAAAATATTATATGTGCAACTCTAGCTAGTTATCTAATTTAATGGGACTTATATTTCACTTATTATAGTAGGTAGAAATGTTAGAATGAAAGAAGTCTATTATTTGTTTAGTTCTTATGGATTTGTACTTTTAATTTTACTACTTAAATAACAATCATAAAGAATATATTTAAGAAAATCAAGTGAAAGGTTTCAAACAACTATTGTTGAATTACTTCCTAAGTATTGGAGGGGTCACTTGATGATCAACTGAAGCACTTCCAACTTAGACCTCATACTCTTTTTTTTTTACTTTCTTTTTTATTTGAGAAAAAAAGAGAGTACTTACGATAATATATTTTTAATCAATTTATTTCTTTCAACAGATTTATTCTCATTATAAAATAAAGAAGTATCAAAATTAAAATTTGAATTTATACCCTTTTATACCAATAAATAAAAATACGTGTATCTCACAGATTCTTTCCCTACAAATAATTGAATCATAAACTTTTTCAATAGAGTTTCAAATTTCCGTGTATGAAAACTTTGAGTTTTTCTTTTTTTTTAAAAAAAAAACTCAATTATGATTTAAAAAAAAAAGAAACTAAGGGCAAATACCTAACAATATTAATTTTCACCAAAGTATATAATAAATATTATGTATGAACAATTATAATACAAATGAACTTACTGGAAAGAGGTAAGGTCAAAATAGAATACGAGTTGACCTTTTCTAGCAATTAAAAAAGAAATTCTTTTAGTATTTTGTTTTTATACTAGATAACGAAGCCCGTGCCAACGTATGTTATTGTTTTATTTTTCATATTTTTTAATTTATATGACTATGAAATGCAAATTCAATCAAATGCATATGTGAATTTTAAATATTTTAAGCTATCAATTATTGTGATTTATAGTATTTTATGTATAATTTATTTGATAATGTTTCTTTCATAATGTTAATATATAATATATTAAAATAATAATAAAGTAAAACAATTTAAATTATTAATTATTGTGATTTAGTACTTTATATGTATTTATTAAATAATATTTCTTTTATAATCTTAATATATAATATAATAAAATAATAATAAAGCAAGAAAAATAATATAATAAAATAATAATAAAGCAAGACAATTTAACTTATTAATTATTGTGATGTATGATATTTTAAGTAATATCTCTTTTATAATCTTAATATATTATAAAATAAGTACAAAAAGTAAAATAATTAAATCGAAACAAAATATTGTATCAAATATTAATAATAAATAAATGAGATAAGTAATTCAAAAATGTTGTGCTATTAAGAAAATATAATGATTGACATCTCTCAGACGATATTGAAAAGGAAGTTGCGCCCACAAATTTCAATGTTCAAACTGAGTACAAATCTTCTAGGTATATATGAGTCATTATAGTAATGTTGGCTAGGTATTTTGTCTAAAGGAAAAGGTACAAATATCAAGAAGCAAAAGTACAAATTGTTTGATGAGTAAAACATAGGAATTGCCAAAACTAGCCTTGTCATACAAGCAAACATGTTAACGAAGACATGCCTGCTTGTAGACTCTTATATATAGTAGTAACCAGATGTATGAGTCATTATATTAATGTTGGTTGGGTTTTTGTCAAACAAGGAAAAGGTACAAATATCAAGAAGCAAAAGTACAAACTGTTTGATGAGTAAAACATAGGAATTGCCAAAATTATCCTTGTCATACAAGCAGCCATCTTGACGAAGACATGCCTGCTTGTAGACTCTTATGTATAATAGTAATGTTACCTATAGGCATTTAGTGTCTATTTAGTAGAGTCCTAAAAAAATTGAGGTGAAAGAAGGAAATTACAACGTATGGGTTTAACTATTACTAATAGGGGGTGTTCAAGGTTTGATTTTAATTGGGTATTGGTTAAAATAGAGATCAAATCAATCTAGTCGATTTTTTAAATTTTTCTGAAATCAAATCAAACTAAACGAAAAAAATAATCATTTGTTCGATTATCGACAATTTGGTTCAGTTTGGTTTAGTTTATTTTGATTTTTTCAGTTTGAAAGTAATAAATTTTTTAGGACATGAACAATCTGCTGAAAAGTTATTGTTGGTTCAATTAAGCAATTAAACAATACCAAAGTTATCATTACACGAACAAAGTGATTCAATTAAGAGAAGATATAACAATCTTATGAGTATAACTTACATAAATTTTATAGTGTAAAATTTAAATTTCATTATAATCCCTATTCTTTTTATTTTACAGAATTCCCTTAAAAATTGTATCATCCGGATACATTATATTTATTCGGATACATAATGTCTGATACATAAAACAACTTGATTGTTGTCCTTAAAAAGGAGTCTAAACGTAAAATTAATTATCAGTCGCACGAATCTCGCAAAACATATCCCACAAATCATGCAAAACAAATTGATATCAACTTATTCCAATTAGTAAGGAAGAATTCAAAATTCAATTTTTTTTCTCCTCCATATATTCCAAATCATAACATATCTAAAATAGATGTACATCATTGCTGATACATGATGAATATATCAATTTTGTTGAGATATTTAGGAATTTTTGTGAGCGTTCTGAGTTATGAACGATATAATACTGATGAAATAGTTGTTAGACAAATAATTTTTTTTTGTAAATCTCAAATCCGCCATTACCTCTGAATTGAATCTCAAATCCGCCATTGATACAACAGACAAGATGATTGGGGAGATGAATTGGTTTGATGCTACATCCGTTGAAATTTTTTGGGCATAATACATGGATATGCCCTTTAATTTGGCTTCATATCATATTTATACCCTTCAACTTTGGATCTCAAAGAAAGTGAATAGATTTGTTAATGTATCAAATATCCAATTTAGATACAAAAATATGTTGGGTACCATTTTCCCAAGTTCGACACAACAAATTGGCATAATACATATATTGGACCATAAACTTGACTTCAAATTTTAACTTTAATCTCCAACTTTCATAATGCACAAATAGGCACTTTAACTATCCAACTTTTAAATAAATAAACACATGAGTCCTACATGACACAATACACGTAGGACACCACGTAGGACAAAAAATGACATATTGGATGACATGTAGGATATATGTGTCTATTTTTTCAACTTTCTACAAGTTTAAGTGTCTATTTGTGCAGTATCTCAATCTTATACATTGAGTATCTTTCCGAGTGTGAATGACTTTGATATAAGACGTCTTAAGATAGATACACTTCTATTGTGCAAAGTAGAACTTCATTTATTGCGAGGACACTTGAAACATTAAGATATGAATAATTTTATCTCTTAACTTAGACAAGATGAACTCAAGTAACTACTTAAGTATGTTTGAGATACCATTTGAAATTATACTGATTTCTCAAAGTTGACTTCAAATTTATTTGAAAGTAGTTGAAGATGACTCATATGCATCATGCTAACTTGTTGGTACTAACAAAGTAAAAACATTGTCAACGATGAACTGATTCATTTCTCAATAGATGTCTTTTGCAGGAAATATCAAGAAAAAAAAGAAAAATATTTTTTAGATTTTTATGAATTATGTTTGACCTGATTCTTGGTATATGAGATACGTACACAGTTTTACAATATGGCTCGGTCTCACAGAATAAAATTTTATATCCTTGAAGGAATGAAATTTGACCATTTTTGTAAAAAAAAAAACAAACTAAAAGAGTGATAAAGTTTCTCAAGTTAAAAAATTGGGTCATATTTTCATCACTCTCATTTCTAGGGCATAAGTACTTTAGTTGCATTCTAATCTTAGAAACAAACCCTCAATTTTCTTTAATTTCTAAAGAACAAACTCCATAATTTCATTTTTTTTCTTTGGTACCAGTTTACTCATTCATACTAATAGTGTAAATAATATTTCTGGTGCAAACTGGAGCAAAAAAGTGTTGTGGTTTTATTTGATGATTTCCTAAGCCTCCTAAATAATGAGAATTAGATTAGTAGGACCCTCCTAGACAATGAAAATTAGTGTATCAGGGACCCTCCTAAATAATGGAATGTAGTACTAGAAGGACTCTCCTCATAATGAGATTAACAGAACACTCCAGGATAATGGGGCTAGAAGAACCCTCCTCATAAAAGGAATAGCAGGATCCACCTGGATAATGAAATTAGTAGGACCCTCCTAAATAATGGGACTAGAAGGACCCTCCTCATAATGGGATTAGCAGGAATCTTCTGGATAATAGGACTAACAGGACCCATCTAGATAATGTGATTAGCAGGACCCTCCTATATAATGGGACTAGCAGGGCCCACCTTGATAATGGGACTAGCAGGACCCACATGGATAATGAAATTAGCAGGAACCTCCTAGATAATGAGACTACGAGGACCCACTTGGATAATGGGATTAGCAAGACTCTCCTAGATAATGGGACTAGAAGGACTTTCCTCATAATGCGATTAGCAGGACTCTCCTGGATAATGAGACTAACAAGACCCACCTAGATGACGGGATTAGAAGGACCCTCCTGGATAATGGGATTAGAAGGACCCTCCTCATAATGTGATTAACATGTCCCTCCTGGATAATGAGACTAGCAGAACCCACCCGGATAATGGGATTAACAGGACCGTCCTGAATAATGAGACTAGAAGGACTCTCATCATAATGGGATTAGCAGGATTGACCTACATAATGAAATTAACAGGACTCTCTTGGATAATGGGATTAGACTACAAGAAATAATTTTCTTTAAGATCAATATTTAGGAACTAGTTAATAATTTCGTCTTTAAAGGTATATATATTGGGACGAGATTTTAATCCGGTCGTTAATTTCATGAGTTATTGTGTAGGTACTAATGTGGTCTCTAGAAAAAGTGTAAACTGGTCCCTATTTAAAATCTAGTTCTGACGAAATTTAACTAGGCGGGTAAACACTAAATGTCTATTTTCTCCAAATCTAGGCGTCAAAATGCCTATTACTGATTAAAATTGTAAAAAGAAAAAAATAAATAAAAGACCTCTGTTTCTCAATACTTAACGTGAAACAGAACCCTAACAATAATTTTTCTAACAACGATCTTCATAATACAACTATCTAAGAGCAGCTCTCAACTGAAGATCTTTGTTTTCTCAAAATGGAGAAAACATAGGTCTGCCTAAAAGCCAACGCAACTGCTTGTTTCTGTCATTCATCTGTGTTTTTTCAGAACAAAGAAAAATCAGGTCAACCTAGCACTGATCTCAACTCAATCTCCATCTTCTATTCAGTCGAATCTCAGGTATTACTCCACTTCTTCCAATTTATTTGTCTCCTTCGTTTAAGACGATTTGTTGTGTGTTTTATTAAAGTTATAACTCTTTATGTTTTAGTTATTTTTGTTCTTTCACACGAGCTTCCGATCATTATTTGTAAAAAAAGATTCAGTTTTATAGTGTGCTGTAATCCCAAAAATGTAAGGGATATATCCTTACAGAACTAAGTGTTTCTAAAGTTAAAGAAAACAGTGAACTAAACTTGAAAAGAAGCATTACCAACTAGACGAGCTAAACAAGTATGATCAATATCGAGAGAGTTGTGTGCAAGTTGAGAAATCCGTTATGCATTACAAGTGAATTGTTTTTAAGCTTTTAAGTCTACAAGAGCAAGTGAGAAAACTGATTGTTTTATATTACTATCGGAAAAGTGAAAAATTGATAATTTGTTTGGTTCTAAAACTAATAAAATATGTAAACCAAAATAGAGCTGAGTTATTCTAAATGGTTCCTCTTATTTCTTTCTAGTTGTATCTCAGTTATATCTCCTCTTTGCGAGTTATTTTTTTCTTCTACAAATCTAAGAGTAACTCTCAACTGAAAAATCTTTGTTTTCTGAATATAGAGAAAACACAGGTCTACCCAGAAGTAGACGCAATAGTTCGTTTCAGCCATTCATCTGTGTTTTTTTAAGAATAAAGACAGTCAGGTCTACCTAGCACCGATCTCAACTCAATCTCCATCTTTATTCACTCAAGTCTCAGGTATTACTCCACTTCTTCCAGTTCATTTGTCACCTTTGATTAAGCCGATTTGTTGTGTGATTTGTTTAAGTTATAAGTCTTCTGATTTAAGTTACTTTTGTTCTCTCATACTAGCTGTTGATCATTATTTGTAAAAAAGATTGAGCTTATAGTGTGTTATGATCCCAAAAATAAAGGGGATTTATCCTTCCAGAACTAAGTGTTCCTAAAGGTTAAGAAAACAGTGAACTAAGCTTGAAAAGAAGCATTAACAACCAGACGATCTAAACCAACATGATCAATATTGAGAGAGTTGTGGTCAAGTTGTGAAATCTGTTATGAATGATAGGTGAATTGTTTTTAAGCTTTTATGCCTAGCAGAAGTGAGAAATCTGATTGTTGTATGTTATTATTGGAAAAGTGAAAAATTGATAATTTTGTTTGGTTCTAAAACTAATCAAATATGTAAAACAGAAGAGAGCTGAGTTATTCCAAGTGGTTCTCTTATTTCCTTCTAGTTCGTGTATCTCAGTTATTTATCCTCTTTGCGAGTTGTTTTTTTCTTCTCTAAATCTAAGATTAGCTCTCAATTAAAAATCTTTGTTTTCTCAAAATAGAGAAAGCATAGGTCTGCCCAGAAACAGACACAACAACTTGTTACAGTTAGAACTCTTCATTTTAAGTTACTTTTGTTCGAGTTATAACTGTTCTTTTTAAAGTTACTTTTGTTCGCTCACACTAGCTGCTGACAATTATTTGTAAAACAAATTTAATTTTATGGTGTATTTATTAGGATTCTTAGAGAAGGATCAAGTCACAAGACTATGAATAGAAAAATCTAAATCAATTGACTTCCATTTTTCCTTGCCTTTGTTCGAATTCCTAGATCGGCCTATTTTTGTCCTTCACAAAAGAAACGAAAACAACAGATCGATGAGGTTAAGTATTTTTTCTGAACTGATAGACATGAAATTTTTTATTACTACATTGACGCACATGATTAATGTTTTGGAGGAAATAATCACGAGTTGATTTCTCCTTTTGATTGTTGATAGTAACTTACTGTTAAAAAGTTTTATTCTTGATTACTTAGATTCTATCCTTAATTTCATTGGTAACTATTTGAAATACTAATTATATTCTGTTTTCAGTTTACTGGATAAAAGGTATTCTCAAAATTTTTCTACTTTTTGCAGGTTCGATATGATAACTGAAAATGAGGATAAATCAATTATGAAGAGTACTATTAGATACTCATTTGTTGCGCTCGGGGCAATAGAAAGAGGAAGAGGACCAGGGTTTTGAATATATATGGAGTTCTTAACTGCATGTACTAAGAGTTCATTATTTCACTCTAGTCATCTTGTTAAGCAACACATCCAAGAAGTTGAAACAAGTAATCTTTTTGAATATATATGGAGTTCTTAACTGAATATATATACATATCTTCTATTAATTTATCAATGGGTGTTACTTTTCTTCAGGTGCTATTGAGAAGGGACGACATTAACTTACCAACGTCCCAAAGTCTTCTAGTCATGGAAAGGAAGCAATAAATGAGAAGTCCAATATGTCTCTTGAGAAAGAGTATATTCAAGTCAATACTTCATTTCATCCATCTACCAAGCAAGCTAAGCAATACATCCATGATGTTGAAACAAGTATGTTTTTTATGACTTGTGCTCTTTTTTCTAATGCTATCCATATTTCTTGTAATGTCAAGTCTCACGAGCTGAGGTCTTATTTTTTGTAGAATTAATTTGCATTCAATACAATACTAATAGTCATGTGAAATTGTATTCAAATAGTAGTGATACGTTTTCTGCAGGTTATATTTGTAAAGGACAAGGAACTGAAAATAAAAACACCACCATGTCTTCTGGCGGACCTCAAACTCGTAATCGTGTATTTGGCTTTGGTGGTTGAGTAAAGGGAAAGGACATGAGGGGTGACACTTCTTCAAATACTGAGTTACTATCTAAGCTAGCTTCAACTCAAGAGGAAATAAATCTTTGAATGAGAAAAACAAATCCTTGAATAATAGCTTGTCTACCTTAGAAGATGAGATGAGAGAACTAAGAAGAATGCAATAATTCTTTGCTGCTTAACAATCACATAATCCACATACGACATCACCTGAATCAGTTCAATGACCACCGACTTTTTTTTGCTGATCAAGTAAGTAACAATATACCAAACTCTATTGGTGGGTAGTTGTTTAAGTAGTTAGTGTATGGCTGAACTCTTAGAAAACTAATGAAGAGACGAATGAACAAAGAGCATATCCATCGTCCTTTTTGAATATGGAAGACACTAAATTTATAATTGACATGCTTTCCATCATCATTTCTATTGTTATTGATATGCATGTTTAAAGGAATTATTCACTTGTGAGGTACTTCGTTGGGTGATTATCTTCTCTTAACTGGTGGTTGTTTATCTTATTTGCGTTATGATTTATGAATACCATACATATTAGTTTTTTTTTTGTTTTTTGGATCGATAATGGAAATTTGTATTGCTTTTTGAGGATCTGTCATGAACAGAATACTAAAACTTTTCCCTGTGAAGTGGAAAAATTGATGTTTCAGCAAAATGATGACCAGTTCCGTTTAGTAGATTCTAGTAATGATGTTGATTTGGTTGATAAAACATGGAAATATGAACTTGTATATCCACTAAAAGTAGCTGAGAGAAAAACTAATTAGCAAGTTTCAGGTGCTCAATTTATGAACTAAATCTCATATCTATATGTCCATGATTCGAATTTCAACGCCAATATCGATTCACTTCCGACAACGGTTGGTTTCACACTTGTAGCTCTACAGATAGGATTTGGATTTCAAGAAAAACAAAAGTATTATACATAGAGTTTTACTCCTAATGGCAATCTTCCAATCCACAACTCTTCTCTGCGTAAAAGCTATCTGGAAATTCTACATAAGAGTTTTTCAGGTGTTGCAGTGTTTTCTGTTTTATCTATTGTCGGTCAAAGTTGAGGTAATTTTATATTAAATAATCATAGACTAATGCACTTATATCAACAAGGCCATCTATGAAATCGTAATGATGTGAGATGTCATAAGTGATTTCTCTAATGGCTTGGGTTTAATTCCTTGAGTTTCCTCTCATACAACACATAGATTATATCCATTGCATTACCTGTTTACTCGTAATCCATGATAGTGTGAGTTTTTCGGTTTGAGGTGTCTGCATGAGAACAATAGTGTGACTGTTTTCCATTTTAGAATGACTAAGGATTGAGCCTGTATTTGCTGAAATTTTGAAGAAGCGAATCAGAAACACTGTTTAGGTGGCTGCAGTGGCGTCTTTGCTGGCAATAGAATTGTTTAAAAGATTACAGCCTTAGCGAATCAGAAACTCTGTTTAGGCGGCTGCAATGGCGTCTTCTCTGGTAATAAAATTGTTTAAAAGATTACAACCTTCTTTATCTATGTTGTTTCCATTTATACAAATATAATATGTACACACATCTTTTTCCTCTTTTTAGTTTTCTACAACTGTGTGAGACCGTTTTAAATTATAGTAGAACTATACATAGTGAACATAGTCTACGGTTTTCTTGGATTTCATGTGGCCTACAGTTCTTTGGGATTCAATGTATTTATTATGAATGCAATCTGTAGACATTTTAGCCTTGGGATACACTATCAAAGTTTTCTTACTCAAGTTTTGTTATGTTATTGCAGCTTGTTAATACTTTTGGATAACCCTTGGTGAATTTCGGTGTACTTTTGTGAAGATTGAAGCTGCAAGTTTAGAAGATGCAAGATTAGAAGATGCACAAGACCATTAATAATTTGCTCGGGATATTGTTAATTTGCTAACCTTTTTTTTTGTCAAACAAATATTGAAACTTACACTATGGGATAGAAATCTTATATTTATCGATAAAGCTTATATTATTTTTGTGAAATGAAATTCCAGAAGTACAGATGGTCAGTTAGAGACTAAAAGTTTTGCTCGTCTCTAAAAGTTCATCTATGACGAGAGAGTTTCATGTCTCTAAAATTTTCATCTAGGACTAGAAAACAACTTGTCCCTAAAATATCATTTAGGATGATGTATTACCATTCACGAAAACAATCTAAGATGATGTGGTTGCTCGTCCCTAAATAGTAATCAAGGGCAAGGTCGTAGCTAGTTCCTAAAGGGATTTAACGACCAGAAAATGACCAGTTTTAAAAGAAGAAAATACTCTATGTATGACGAGATATACAGTTTCCAAAAGTATTTTTGCGACCAGCTTTATTTCTGTCTCTAAACTCATTCAGCGACCAGCTAATGGAACTCGTCCCAATTGATCTTTAGCGAAGAAACATTCTAGGACGGGTGGCGACCAGCCTTTTCCCGTCTCAATAGACTATTTGGGACCAGATTTGAACTTTTTAGAACGATATTTCCATTCCTTAGAGGTCGTTTTTCTTGTAGTGCTAGAAGGACCCTCCTCATAATGGGATTAGCAGAACCCTCCTGGATAATGGGATTAGCAAGTCACACCTGAATAATGGACCCTCCTGGATAATGGGACTAGAAGGACCCTCTTCATACCCTCTTCATATAGGATTAACAGGACCCTCCTAGATAATGGGACCAGTAGGACCCTCCTCATAATGGGATTAGCAGGACCCACCTAGATAATGGGACTAACAGGACACTCCTAGATAATGGGATTAGCAGGACCCTCCTGGATAATGGGACTAGCAGGACCTTCCTCATAATGAGATTCGCAGGACCTGATAATGAGATTTGATTACTTTCTCTTAGAATAAACACTTCCTAGTATGAGTTTATGTTTTATATTTACATTTGCTAATAACTCACAAAAATTTCCCAGTGAAAACTGGGGCAAAAACTTTGTTTATTTTTTGTTGGTGATGGTTTTCACGTTTCTTCAAGCGAAACATAGATTTGAAATTCAAGAATATTGTTTCAACTTTTTTTTAGAATGATCAACCCCATGATTGTCAGAATCAGTTTTTTCAATGCATGTAGCAGCCTGGCTTTCTCATATCTTTTACTAGTCAGCTTCCTATCAAGAAAATATGCAGTCATTCAATAGCATTTTCAAATTGTCATTTTGAAGAATGTCAAAAACTCAGTCTAAGTGACTAGTTCAACCTTCAATTTAATTCAAGGTTAAGATATTCACCCAAAAATCAAGGTGATATCTTAAAGTCAAGATTCAAGTGAAGACTCAAGAAAAGCTACATAGATAGGAGCTTGTACATTCATTTTTCTTTTGACTATTAGCTTTCAATTTTTTATGTAAGGATAAGAACTGCGATCTGAAGCCTCGATGGAACCTCACTTAACTTCCAACTCATCACTTCATCTCCTTGAACTACATGTGACCTGATTCCCTTATCCTCCGGGATATGTAGATGTCCAATATAAGGACTCGATCGCACAAATTTTGGTCTATCAAATAAAAGTTCGATCAAAACTTGTCACTTTGTCTATTTCTTTGTCTGTAAGCTCTTCGTGTTTCCTGTCAAAAAGAGGCAACCTGTAGACACGTAAATTTTGACTGAATTTAAGTTTTATACGCTTTATAGAGTTTAAATATTTTTATTAATATTTTGACTTTTATCTTATTTTTATTAAGTTTATTTTTAAAAGACTTGAAAACAATAAAAATAAAATCACTTGTAAGGTAAATTTTATTTTTATTTGTTTAAAAAAAAAGAAAAGAAAATTACAAAAAATATATATGTTTTTTTAATTAAGATCAATAATAGGCTAGTATTTCTTAATTATAATAATCTATTCAATTTTTTTTAATAATTAGCTAATACTTTTATTATCATAATTATTATATTAATTATTAAAAAAAAATATCTTAACCCCCACTTCTATCCCCATTTTCTACCACTTCCCACAACCATCAACCCGCTACCCCTATTTTCCTTCCCTCACAACCCACCTTACACACTACATATAACACATGAACAAAAAGAAGATTTTTTTTTAGCAAAAACACATGGAAAAAAAAAGAAAGAGAGGATTAAAATCACTTCTAAATGAACAATTTTTCAGCAATAAAGAAAAAACAAAAACACACCAACACACAACGAAAGAAACAGAAAGGAAAAGAAGGAAAAACACAACATACATTCATATAAAAAATTGTGAATGTTCTAGTCGAGGTTCCATCTAGATTTTGTGGTATTCAACTTTTTTTTGTCTTTTTTAATCAATTCATGGAATGTGATGTAATTTTATGACAAGTTTTCTTATATTTTATTTTATTTACTAATCTAATTGAAATGATTAATTAGTTAGTTATTATATCCCTTTTTGATGAACGTGGGTTGCATTGATTGATGATTTTTTAATTTATTTTTATTTGTTATTTGTGATCTTATAAAAATAAACGGACCGTAACATTATTCTTGTCTTGATTTAAATAATAATGATGAAGTACATATGAATAGACTAAAAATAAATAAATAAATGAATTATTATTGTTTTACTCTAACAAACAAAAAAAGAGATTTATTTTTAACAATGTGTTATTGTTTGTTTGAGTAGAACTAATATACTTGATGTTGATATTAATTATAAGAGAGTAAACAAAATATTGAAATACAAAATAAAAAGATATGAATATTATCCAAAATTTTATCCTAGAATTTGAGTATTTTATTTTATTTTTCTTTAGAACGACTAAGTATTTTTTTTAACTTTACACAAATATGTAGGCACATATAATTTTTGATTAAGAATGTGGTTACATATTTTTTTGAGACATTAAAAATAAACTCAAGGATGCAGTGATGCATCTTATCAAGTAATTCAATTAAATTTTATTTATTTAAAGTAAAGATATATAGAAAATAAGCTTAATATATAATTGTGGTGGAAAGAAAATATTTATGTCTCTAATCGTGAAGACCAATAATATGGTTACTTATCTAGGTCGAGACCAAATAAAAGTTCATCAATAAAAATGCTAACAATTTATGGTTTGAAAATAATATATCCAAAAATATTTAAAATTAGTATAAGTCAATAAAAGTGACTATGCTAGAACCAGGGACTCGAGGGATGCCTAATACCTTCCCCTCGGTCAACAAAATTCCTTACCTAATATAGAGTCATTTCCTTTTGGTTAGGGATTAAAACAAAAAAGTGACTTGGAATACCATAACTCAATTTGAAGTGGCGACTCTGAAAAAATTAATATCATCCCTTAATCAATATCGTCACTTAAATTGGAAAAACCCTATCGCTCGTGCGAAAAGGGGTGTGACAGTTTGTTTTGTGTTTATAGTTCTTTTTTAGAATTTGGTATTCCTTCTCAATTTTTATTCAAATCACTATGTATTCTATCAATATTTGAATTTATTAAAAATCTCACGTTGCATAGTTTATAAAATCTTGTATTTGTCCCTAGTTTGTATTCATCCCAAATGTATGTCAGCTAGTTGTGTATAATTTTGTATTAGTTTAATTTGTTTTTATAGTTTTTTCTTCAAATTTTTGTATCCTTTCTCAATTCGTATTCAAACTACTATGTATGCAATGAATATTTGTATTCATTAAAAATCTCATGTTGTAGTTTATGAATCTTATTTGTTCCTAATTATATTCATTTTAAGGTAAGCCTACTAGTTATATATTTTATTTAAGAATGATTGCAACAAATATTCTTGTATTCTTTTTCAATTTTATATTTCATTCTCACTATTCTATTATTTTTTTAAATATTTTATACACATTATACAATATATAATATAAAAGTTAGAACGAATACAAATACAAATAATATACATATTGGAATGAATATGATTTAGGAAAGAAAACAAAATTCTGAAGAGAAAAATAAATACTGAAAAAAATATATGAATACAAATATGTTTCTTAAATAGCTATATATTTATTTGACATACATGTTGATATAATACAAATTAATTAAGAGATACAAGTTTCATTTATACAAAATACAACATGAAAACTAGAATGAATACAAATACAAATGATATTCATATTAGAATGAATAAGATTTAAGCAAAAATACAAAACTCTGTAAATTGGATATTGAACTTTTTGATACTGTGATTTTCATAACAATATTTAGTGAAAATTGAAAATTTATAAATGTACTTCATTAATTTTGTGATTTTCATAACAGTAATTAGTAAAAATTAGATATTTATTTTGGTAAATAAAAATGTCTAGAAACAAAAAAGATTAAGAAAATTGGATATTGAATTTTTTTTAGAACAATGGTGAAAGACGTGTTTTTTAGAACATGGTGAAAGAAGATGAAAGAGATGAAAGTTAGTGTATTTTGATAAATTGTAACTGATGAGACTTTTAAGCATTTGTTCCTTTTTAAAAAAAATTATCTCCCCTAAATTCCTCCAATTAGTTATATAAAAATTGTATTCTTTAAATAAAAACAAATAATAAAAACACAAATAAGATACATAAAGAACTAAAATTTTGACATTTTTACTAAATATTGAAAGTGTTGCTAATGAGGCCTCTTAAATGTTAAAATATTGATATTTTGAAAATTTCCTCTCGTTCAAATACATACACTTTCAGTTATAAAGTCGCATGTTAATATAATAATATAAATTCTCACTCTGTTAAATGCATGCTGCACTATTTAATTCCTTTAGTAATCATTAGGAAATCACAAGTAATCAACAAGTAATTTAATAATTAAAACCTTGTTCCCAAATCTCAAAACACTAACATTAAATACTTCTCCCAATTTCTTCATATACTCCCAATCATCCAATTAATTACACATTATAAAACAATAATAATAAATATTAACACACCCAACTATTAATATCTATAACATAAAGTTGGAATTGAATTGAGTTTTACCCGTAGTCGTTTCGTCAATTTGTTGATGGTGCTAAAAACCAAGAAGGAGAGGTGCATGCTATTTGTCTTATGATAACTAAATAATACAACTCTTATTTCTTTTATTTAA